AAAAAACTAAATACTTGCCAACTGCGAGACAGAATTGGAGGACATGGACAGCGCCTTCTTGCTTTAGGAAGTTCATAAAGCGAAAGAGAAGGTCTTGCTGTTCTCGAATTTCCTTCAACTCCAGCTTTAGCACCTGATACAAAGGCAGGAAAAAATGGATTAATATACTCTATAAAGCATTGCCTGCTATATTCCTCCTGCTTCTATTAGGCTTACGCTGTCCCATATACCAGCTACACATTGTCACTAGGTTTTTGCTTAATGCCAGATGGCTTTTGTTTCAAAGGCGGCTTGCAGTTGAATTTTTGTAGGTTTTTAATGAATTACTTCACTCTCCTAGATGAAAGCAATCACTTACTGAGGGCTTTTTGCTGCGAGTATCAGAGTACTTTTGTAGGAAAGGAACCAGTGTTGAAGTGGGCTCTGTGGCTTCTTCAGGCTGGAGTGAACAAGTTGGGAAAAATTAAATACACATTTAAAATTCACAGAAGATACACTCACCCTTCATTCATTCTGTTAGGTATGCCTATGCCAGTTCGGAAGAATAATCAGAACGGAGAAGAAAGGAGATTTAAGTGGATTTCTATGGGGCATCGTTGCTAGTGCTAATACAGGCTGGGCTGAGTATTTCAGAAACTGCTGATCTACTGGGATTTACTCCACACATCCATCTCAAGAAAATGGTCTGAAAAAGAGAAAATATCCCATGAGCAGCAGTTCTCTACGTGAAAATGCCTTGTGGACGTCACAGGTCAGAGGAGAGTGGCCAGACTTCTGGCTGCTTTGAGCAGACAGGATAGGAGGGCAACAGTAACTCAAATAACCACTCATTATGGAGAATAACATTTCTGAATGCACAACATGTTGAACACTGAAGCAGATGGGCTACAGCAACAGAGGACCACACAAAGATTCACCAAAATTGGACAACAGGAGATACAAAAGACATTATCTGGTCTGATGAGTCTGAATTTCTGCTGTGACACTTAAGAATTGAATGTAAAGAGCATGAAAGCATGGATGCATCCTGCCTTATACCAGTAACTCAGACAGGTGGTGCTGGTGTAATGGTGTGGGGATATTTTCTTGACACACACTGAGTACTGCTGCTGACCATGTCCATCTTTAATAACCCAGCCAACAAATCTGCTTTATGCCACAAAAATTTGAGTTCAGAAAGCAAAAGATCGACCTGACTTGTTACTAGAAAGGTGAACCAAACAGAGTGACTGGTGAGTGTAAATGACAGCCAGTTACAGTTCAGTATATACTTACAGGTGAGTTGTCAATGAATATCAAAATTAAATGATTCGCTGTGTCCTGAAATAAAATTAAAAAAAACACACAAAAAAGCAGTCAGTAAGTTTCAAACTCAAGTGTAGCGCTGTAAGTAATGTTTTGATTTGTCTTTTATTTCCATTCTCATAATACTGCACATTAGCACTGGTTAAAGGACAATAAAAGAAATATCCTGTTAGACTGGCAAAAGCATCCAAAGACACGTTTAAGGGAAAAGACAGCTTTGGATTTCTATTCTACACTTACAGGATCAGCCAAGTAGTCCATCGAAGGAAGGAAGACAGAACCAGCCAAAACCTCTCTTATCAGGAGTGTAAGAGATCTGAGAGAATGACGAGATACAGAAGCAGGAAATAAGAGAATGAAGCAATAAAGACGTAGTGCTGCGTAGTGTCACAAATGACACTATTCTCATGGTAGAATCATGCTGTGCATTCATGTTGTGACTTAAATAAATATATGATTGCAGTGCATGGGCTTTACTTCCAGAGAAGTCAGTTACCTGCAGTCTGTGGCCTTGGGCGGCAGGATGTAAGGGAACAGTATCTCAGTCAGCTTCCTGAGGTAGAGAAGCTCATCTCTGCGACTGCGAAGAGCCACGTGGAGATCAGGACCATATTCCTCCAGGGCAGCTTGTTGAAGATACTCTATGTTTTTTACTGAAAAGAAACCAAAAAACATTTTTTACGATAAAAGAAATAAAAAACAAACTGCTCTGTGTGATTATATCTGCCATACCCTTCTGCCTTGCTTTGCTAATAATTTCAATGTGCTTCATGGAAACTTTAAGGAGCTTTTTTGTGATGAGCGATGCCACATCCACCTAAGAGAGAGAGACAAGTTTATTTAAAAATGATGAAGACCGGTTTAAAAAATTCAAAATTTTTATCTTTGTAGAGTCTAAGTTTCACCTTCTGAGTCCGACGAACCAGCACGGCTGCAAAGAAACGCAAGGTCACTCTCAGCTCGTCGACAAACGCCTCGTCGTCTGTGATGTCTCTAAAAGGAAAAAGAAATCTGTCCCGTCACTTCACAGGACACAACACAGTTTGAACCTCAGAGGAAGGATACAAGAAACTCTTACCTATACCAAGGATATACAAAATTTTCCAGAACAAGCTCTAGAATCTAAAATAGAAACAATAGATTTTATTATGCCATAATTTGATAGATTCATTTAATGTTTATTTAAGAATAATAACGTGTTTAACGAATATGTCTATTACCTCTGAGAGTGAGGCATCCACTTTAGAAGGAATTTTCAGGTCAAGCCATGGCTGATAGTTTTCCAGTAACAGAGTCGGTCTATAAATATGAACAAAATTGAAAAAAAAAGGAATGAAATAGAAAAGATTCAGTATCATCAGCAGAGGAAGACAGAAGAATCAAGTCTGACCACTAGATGGCATTGCTAAATCTCCCATGACCTAATAAGTAGGTAACTTATTGTTGTCAACCCAGTAATGAGGTTATATATATATATGTATAGCATTCGTAGTAACACAGTGATATGGACTTGGTCACAGATGATCTGTAAACTGTGGCGTCAGGCATTAAGCATTTATTATGCTAAATATATAACTGCTGCTGAAATAGATATAAGGTTTCGATAAAACACAAGTCAGCTTCTGTCCAGTCTACGACTGTTGCACAACAGCATAACCACGTCACTCACCTGTGCCTTTTGCACTTGATTTTTCCACAAACAGCACAGCTGTGGCCCAGCGGAAACAGCTCCTGCTGGTACGACTACAAGATAAAGTCAACAGCAAAGATTATGAACTGCTGCTGCTTTTGTGCATTTTTATTCATCATCATCAATGTATAAGTAAGCAATAGCATGCTTCCAACAAGTGATAGACATTACATATATTTCTATCAGTTGTGGCACTCAGAGTGTGGAGGCTGTATCTTCCTAATTTGTTCAGTTAAATTCTAACAGACCTTGATTCTTGGTTTAATGGAGACTAAGATGTTAGGCAGCAGAGACTCAGGCCCCAGGGAGCAGTAGAAAGTGACGACTCCAGCCAGGAACGACCAAAACACCATTATGATGTGAATATATCTGTAGTAAAAAAGGAGGTGTGATGTATAAATGAATAAAAACATGGTAAGCTATGAAGTGAAATTGAGTGGGCTGCAGGTTTGCCTATGTAGAGTGAACTAGTTACCTGTTCAAAAGCAAAGTGGAGAGAAGCAGGACCAGCAGAAGGAAGCAGAAGACTGGATATTGTCGACCAAGCTCTCGGAGCCGGTCCACTTTTACCCTGCGTCTTAATTTCTGCAGATAAGCCCGGATGCATCCCATCGTTGTCTGTCAACATCCAGCCTACTGCATATTACTGTAAATAAATAAAGGTCGCATTACGAAGTGGCTGCAGGCTACAAATAAATAAGGGCGTGTAGTAGGAAGCACGAGCTCCTTACTCAAAGTCACAGTATTTTATTTATTTTTTTTAAATCTATCAATTCCGCTTAACATACGTATCAGGTTGCACTGATTTTAACATATCGACTCAAGCACTTACTGTAAGTGTACGGCGGACGATATGGGCCATTTTTCACTGTAGTTCAGGCGCGACACCATAATGAATTTGCAAAAACAAAATAAATACATAAGCAGGTTGCCTGTGTGCAGGATCAGCGCAGAGAGCAGAGCCGCGCACAGCTGTGAGCAACAGCAGGATTAGTGGCAGTTACACAGCATCACTCGTGCGTGGACCGTCCTAAAACTCTGATAGGTTGCCGTTTTGGTTAATGGCCGCGGTCCTGTCACGGGCATAGCTGTCCATTGAGGAGCAGCAGCAGCGGCGGTGGTTGGTGCCTCGGTTGTCAGCGCTGGAGACGTGTGATGTCACCTCCGCTGCGCTCCCAGCAGCAGTAGCTGCTACTGGCTTCTGTAGTTTAGCTCTGAGGTAACGGACGTGTCCGCCACATATTCCCCTTGAAATGAAACCCACGCCAAGGTGCCCGGATCGAGGAGACGAGTCCCGGAGCGGAGTAGTGCTCACTGGAGCGGCCATTATTTATATTATTGTCACATTTAACGGACTCGAAGCGAAGCACCATTGATTTGTGTGTGTGGTAAACAGCTTCCAGTCGTACTTTGATCGAAGAAACTGCACAAGGGAACATGGGAAAATTGCGTTTTTACGTTTTTTAACGTGGACTTAAATTGGGTTAACCGGCAAATAGCCCTCCTACAGTAGCTCCATCACTCGCGATGACCTACTTCCAGTTAACTGACACAAAGGCGTTTAGAGCTTTTAACATCAGGCTGTAGATTACTGTAATAGTAACTATACTAACACAGTATTGTTACATTTGACGACTCAATGCAATAAATAGTGTTTAATTTATTCAAAGGCACTAATACTGTGCACGTATGCCTGTCCTATAAATCTAATAATATAAGCCTTATAAATCATATACACTATTATACACACAAAACATACATATATAAAGATGAAAAAAAAATACATAAACTGTAGCATATTAGATCTTGTCTATTACACACCCCCACTGCGCTCGTCAACCCGTTTAGGAAAATATTTATTCGAAATCTTGCATTTTAACATGAAACTTTAATGCAAATCTTTTTACATGAAATTTAAAATACCAAAATGACCGACTGCCTCCAGTTAATAAAGTCCTTGCACCTCATGAAAACTTTTGTTTTAATCAAAAGAGTAAGACACAGATAAAAATCAAAAACTTTATTACAAAAATAAGTTACACTCACCTCCATTTTACAGTATAAAACAATTTATTTGCAGGAATGCAAAAAACGTTGTTGGCCACCAACAATAGTTTAAAACTGCTAACATTTTTTTTCTCAAAAGGTGGTTGTTATGATTTTACTGAGGGAGTTAACTGTATAGAAAACTGGGATTGAAGAGCAGTTTCCTTTATGCTATACCTGGAAGTAGAAATCATTCACTGCAGTATCCCTTCTACCACTGTGAGACCATGATCCCTCACCAAATCATAGCAGCTAATGTTAGGCACACATGCTCACTGGCTGGGCAATATGGCAAGTCAGTCATCCAATAAGATTAACTCCAGAGATCTTCTACATAGTTGCTGTACTGGGGAGGGATCATTCGAGATTAACACGATCTTATAAGAGGAAGGATTGGATTAGGCTCTTACATTATTCCGATGCTGTCTGAAAATGTGTTGTATTGGTATAAAAACAAACCCACTGGAAGAATACAGTGGCACAAAAGGGACACTGCAGGGCTTTATTTTTGTTTGTTTTTTTTATTGTTTTTTTAATCAAAGGCAGTTGGATGCCCGTGATGTTGAAGCCTTTACAAAAGTAACATTTTCCGAAAAACTATACAACCAGTAACTACATACTCTGAATAAGCAAGGCAGCTAATTCAGTTCAAAATAAGATAAAAGCAGGGCTTGTTCAGACTCATCATATGAGATTGTTTTGCATGCCCGGTGTGACTGTTTGCAGTCTGCAGAGCTGCAGCTAAAATGACTATATTACATTAAGTACATCGTTTTTGCGCTGCAGCTCTTGTGCATATTTTGTATGAAAACAAGCCCTGCTTTCATCGATATAGTTTCCCTATTTACAGTACAGGCCGGGTAGTTTAGTCCTCTGTACTGAGGTAGTCAACCAACCCTTTAAAGACAAGTTCTGAAAAGAACCACTTTCCTGGAATGCCTGACTTATCCATGCCAGGTGGGTACACCCTAAAACCCTGCAAATGTTCTCTTTCAAACATCCAGATCAAACAATTAAGATTAACATGGATATTCCGACAATAAAAATTCCGATTAGCACAAAAATATACAATAGCATCAAGCTCCTTTGAGCCACTTCAAACCTAAGAACTTAAAAAGTGCAATTTCGTCATTAATTAAAAAAAAAATAAAAATGGCATGTTCAGGGACAGGGAAGGGGTAGATTGTAAGGGCAATTCATAGGTCCCCGTCAAGGAACAGGGACTCAGCAAAGAGGCTGTGGCAAGTATTCAGACTCCTCCAGTCATTTTATAAGGTGGCAGCTTCAAAACAAAACAAAAAAAATGAGCCCTTTTCAGACATGCACTACTCTCCAATAATCTGAACATGGTGGCTTCATTTGCATGAGCACCCAGGTCACTTTTCCATGAAAGTTGCATTGGTAAGCTTACTAGGTTGGACCTAGTAACAAGTCTTTAAACACAGCATAAGGTTGAACTGTACACAGTAACATTAACGGATGGGCACACCCAAGATAGACAGTTCATGTTGACGCTCTAAACTGCTCGGCTCACAAAAGAAAGTGTTCAAGAGCAAAACTTGCCCTATACCATCTTATCTCTCATGACATTTCTTCACGATCCATAAGAGATGCATCTCCTACTCTGCATGGAAAACCTTAACAGCGCAGAGAGCGCGAGCGTTCAAAAACATGGTTACATTTTGAGTCGATGCTGACAAAATTTGTTGCCATAAAGTAACAATTCTTTTGCATGCATTATCGAAGGCATATCTGAATGATGCCATGATGAATATTAATGTAAAAGTGACCCATGTCTGATTGGCAGAATGACACCACTAAAGAGATTATAGTTATGCATTATCCCATGTCTGAAAAGGGCTAAAGTGAGTTAAAATATAGAGGAGGGGAGATGCTTCTTCTGTAAGGCTGGAATATCATTGGACCTTTTTCTCATGCTTGTTGTTTCGACATCCATTGCAGCTTACGGTGTAACCCCACATATCAAGTCAGTATCCACTGTGACAGGTCAGGACCGCCCTCGGCCCCGTTTCCCTGCTGGACCAATAAGAAAGAAAGATGAAATTAGCACAGGAAACCAATGTTGCACACATTTGCCATAAATCAGACATTTAGACCAGACATCAGACATTCACACCAGTGGTCTTGCCACTTACGTGGGCATCAGCCGGCCTTAAAAATGCTATGAATGACCCTCTCTGCTGGCAAACAAGTTGACTTGCTGCTCTCAAAGATCCCAGAAAACTGGAGCCTTAGAATATGGCTTAGAATATGGCCAAAATCATTTGAAGATAATCGCCCTTAACTTTTCACAACTATAGCTGCTTTCATTTTCTATCCATCAGTCGTTTCATTCACGCCACTGCTCTTAATTTTGTGCTTTAATTTCTAATCCAATGTCAGAATATTTGCTTACAGCAAACCGAGCTTAAATGTATTTTTAAATTTGAAAATAAAAAGCACAAAGTAAAAATGTGGAGGTGGGGTGGGTGGTCACACAGGAAAAAGTCATTAACCTCTGATTGTTCCGAGGCCTCCTCGTTGGGAGAAGCCCACTCGACCCCTTGGAGTGATAGCACCACGGCCCCTGGTCTGATTGGCACCACCACGGACTCCTCTTGCTCCTCTTCCTCTCCCAGATGCTTGGAAGTCCTCATAGCCATAGTACGGGTCATCGTAGCCGCCCCGGTAGTTGTGGTAATTATATCCATAGTAATCGTAATAGTCTTCATATCCATAATAATCAGGCGGATAAGAATAACCTCCCCTACCGCCTCGTCCTCTGCCTCTTGTTGGTGGTGGCATGTGGGGGGGACCGTAATAATAGTAATCATCATACCTGAGAGGGGATACAGAGTTCTCATCAGGAAGCCTTCATGCCATATAACATAATTTTAAATTTGACAGTTTTTTTGGCTAAAAAGGTTGTTGGATTAATTACACACAACACAAACCTAGTTGCAATTACAAAGTTCTTGCTTACATTTGTGTTTTAGCGGCTTGTCTCTGGGCTTTACGCTCTTTCCTCTTCTGGTCAGGTGGCTTGGCAAAGACAATTTCAATGTGCTCTCCTTCGAGGTCTTTGCCATTAAGATCGGTCAAAGCCTGTGACGTGAAATCGAGATAATAGCGAAATACCATTCATACACAAAAATCACGACGGGAAAGTACAAACAGTCTGATTCTGAAACAGTTTCCCATCATACCTTCACAGCACTTTCTCGTTCCTCAAAGTGTATGAAGGCGTAGTCTTTCAACTTCTTCACTCGCTCCAGCTTGCCGTGTTGGCTAAAGGTCTTTTCAAGTATCTCCTCTGTAACAGTGCTCGCCAAGTTTCTCACAAACAGCACCTTGACCTGGGTAAAGAGAAGCATGTTTTGTTTATTCCCCATGCAGAAATGCAGTGCAAATCCAATTAATACACTTAAGGTTACATTGCTGAGGACTTTTCGTCCTGTGCCTTACCTTGGCCATGACCTCTGGGTCTGGGTCCTCAATGGGATCAGCCCACTCCACTGTGACCAAATTTCCCCAAACTTTGACCTTGCCACTCATTAGTCGGCGCCGGGCCTGAGCTGCCGTCTTGTGATCTTCATACTCAAGGAAGCAAAAACCTCGATTCTTTTTCTTGTCATCTGGCTGGTGGTACAATATGACATCATTTAGACCCTCTGTAGAGAAGAGAAACAGGAGAGAGAAGTGTAGACAAAGAAGTAGTTAAGTCAAATGTATTATGGAAAGCATAAACCTAAAGCCATAAATGCTTGATTCAAAACATGAAATGATCAAAATTAGAGAAATAAAATTTGAAAAACTACGTTTTCTGCAGTTTGTGTCCAGTCAGATCTTAGCGGTAAACCATCAGAGTAATGTGAATCACTCAAGTACAGTCATGAGATCATCATTTGGACAAAAAACAAAAAAAGGTTTAAAAATGCTTACTGGACAAATATACAAGCGACGCGAAACCCATTCCAAGATGGTTAATGGATGGAAAAGGTTAAAAAACAGTTTGACTCACCTGTTACTTTCGCAAATTCTTCAACAATCTGCTCTTTCGTTTTACTCTTGGGGATGGAGCCAACAAACAGTCTATTATTGGCCACAGAGATGCACACTCCAATGTGTTTTCCTGGTCGAATTTCATTGTTGTTGCACTGCAAAAAGACGCAGGAGTATAAGAGGAAAAATATATAAATAAAAGGAGACAGTCAAGTCTAGTTAGGAGAGCCTATTGCAACTGGTGGTGATGCTTTAAGATGCTTATTCGCCATTGCCAACCATGAGGCACATGCATGCTTCATAAATATATTCCTTTATTCTTCATTTGAAAAGTCCCCTTTGTTAAAACAAAGCCATAGAATAACTCATTTTCTGGTCATAATTAGAGTATTACAGTAGACCTACCAATTTGACAGCCTGCTGTGCAGCTTCTTTAGTGCAGAAAGTGACAAAGGCATAGCCTCTGTTCAGGCCACTTAGGGGATCCATCATCAGGCGCAAGTCCCATATGGGCCCAGCTTTCTCAAACAGTGGAACCAGTTCATCCTCAAAAAGATCTCTGGGGATTTTTCCTACAAAAATCTGCCAGGTTGACAGGAAAAGGAGGTGTAGCGCGTGAGATCAAAGTACTCATTTAAGATGCGTGGTACAAAGGGTAATAACATTGTGGTAAATGGTATCCAGTCAGGTCTTAGCAGTAAACTATCAGTGTAACCAAGGTTACTACAGCAGTGAATAGTTTCATCATTTGGACACCATAAAATAAATGACTGCACCTCATACAATCAATCTCAGAACACATTAATATATAAAGGTGCAGCATTTTAAATGGATAAATAAAGGGATAAGTGATTGTTTCATACCTCTGTACCAATGGTGGGTTGTGCCCCTGAATGGGCAGACTCTGGTGGGGGACCACCGTACTTCCTCTGTCCTGTTGTCACATCAAGTGTGTAGCCAGTCCTCTCCAGCAAAGCCTAACAATTAAAAAAAATAAGGGAAAAAAGAAAAAGAGGTGGAGCAGAGACAGAATTATTGCATTTTTTGGGCCCAAAAAACATTCATTATTCAATAGTGTCCAACGAAGCATGAAATCAGTTTTAGAGTGATTTTTAAATGAACCATCAGTTCTCACTTTGATTTTGGCTTCATCTGGTCCTTTGTTGGTGTCTGACACTTTGGTCCCTTGTTTCTCTCTCTGTCTGTACGTCTTCATCACGCCACAAAGAAAGGCACTTTTGTTCTGAAAGACAAACAATTTAAATGGGATCAAACAGTAATTAAAAAAATATCAATTTCACTGTCAAATATAAATATATGAAATTTACCCTTCAATATATATGAGCAGGCAGAAGGAACAGGAAGCTTAATGACAACTAAGACCTATAGTGTAGTTGCACATTTCAACATAATACTGTTATTTCATTACACTAGCACTCTGATTTTGACTTTGCATTGAGGTATTCAAAATTATGTAAATAGCACCAGCAGCAGCACCGCATGCATACCTGAACATGTGAGAGGTCGCTGTCCTTGAATTGCAAAAGGACTTGGAGAGCACCTTCCTCGTTGAATTCTTTCAGAGCCTCAATCGCTCGATCATCTAAATCACTGTGTGACACCAAACCTGCAGGTTGAACGACACACACACACAAATAGTGAGCTACTAATAAGGGGGAAAAAATTACAAAAATGATACATAATTGACAAAAGTGCAAGGACCTAAGTGAAGTATTTAAATGGGGATTATTTTGTGAAACCAATATAATGAATGAATAATGACTTGTACAATTAGGAGTGAGGAGTGGGACGAGCATAATCTAATAGAGCCGTATTCAGTAGTCGGGCTGTACTTTATTCCTCAACCAGCAAATTTTTGCAGAACTAATCACAACAGATGTGACAGTGCAACTCGATATGCTCATGCCCCTCTATACTGTGGCTGGGAGTTTCTAATGAGCCAGTCTACATTCTCCTTTATGGAGAGGCTGTCACCTGTCCCAGGCAGCCATATACCAGACAGCTGCTGCCATTGTTTCTATCTCAGTTCCATCTGGCTGAAAGGGCCAGACCAGTACTTTTTCTAGATGTGGCCAACCAAACAAGTCCTAAAATGACCCCCCCAAAATTTGTCATTACAGTTCATCCCCATTTGATCTTCTACTAAAAATCAACAGTTATTTAAGCTGTAGCTAGTGTCCCATTTAGTCACTGCTCTGCTATAATTTTATGGGATGCAGAGAAACCTCACAGAAATTAGTAGCAATACTGAATAGGCTCATCAAAAGACTCCCAGAGAGAGAGAGGGAGAGAATTCATTCGCCCTGACACCAGTGATCATGCAACCATGTTGGGAATGCAAATGCTGCAATCATTTACACACTCTGGTAATGTGTAATTTAAAATTCTGTAGCACTGCAGTACCCATTTTGGTAGGAAACCACAAAAAGTTGCTTCGGGATCCCAATTCCCCCATTCAAAAATGTGATAAAATGACAATACATGCAAGAAATTGCTAAACATAAAAATTTGCATACTGAATATGCAAGAGTATTCATAGTGCCTTACCTGCTAGGTAAATTTCATCTAGTTTTTCAGCAACTTTCTGTGGTAAACCAGCTTCTAATAAAGTCTGGAAGTGCTCAGAATGGGTAACTGCAGAGGTGTCCATTGGTTCTTCTGGACCATTTCCATTAATATGTTCTGTGGCCATGTCTCCAGAAATCTGTGTAAATGCAATGAGCCAAATTAATCCTGGGTCAAGGGCAACAATTGTGATGTGCTCAAAAGAGTGTAAAGTCTCAGACTTGTCAGGAAAATCATTTGGGGGGAAAAATTACTTCACCAATTGTAATGTTTGCTGGAGTGCAACTTTCATACTAATAAAACCCATTTGTAACAAAAGAGATGCTGACATGTGCCGAACCAATTATCATGGTCATGTGCTCCTTCCCAGTCTGGAGACTTTTCACTATCTTGACTTAGCACTCAGCTTGAACTAGAAGCTCAAAAGCCTGATATAGGCAGTGTGACACTGTGTGCAATACATTGGGTTCAGGACAAGCACATACCAAAGACTTCACCAAAGAATTCACCTCAGCTGCATATTACATATATATAATAAAAAAAAAAAGAAGGGGAAAAAAGGTTTAACTACGAGGTTCGTGGCCATGTGGCAGTATTTTCATTCTGGTTTGTTCTGAGCTAAAAAAAAAAAAAAAAAAAAAGTTGAGCAAACGGAGCCAAGTTTACGCGCTAACGCCCGAATCTCAGTCTTCTCCTGCCTGCTACGGTCTCTAAATTACATGTTAGCTTACCTTCTCACTACTGACTTCAGCACAGGACAGATAGCTGATACACGTGTTCCATCAGAGAGAGTGAACCCCGGTTTCCGGTGACTGACCAATGAACAACTATGCATACTTTAGCATTTTGTTTATACCTTTGCATCAACTATTGTTACACTGAACACAAACACTCTAATAATCGTGTTAATGACCAACCCAAACACTGCCTCTTATTCCTTTGTATGGATAGCTTTTGGGGTACTAACAGCAGCAATCTACCTGCTCACTGGTCACAATGTCTATCCGGCAACGGCAGACTCAGCGAAAACGTGGACGGCAATCTTATGTTTTGGCCTAACATTAACAGAAGCTCGTATTGTCCAGTCGGTGTGCTATACTGACTGCTAATCAATCTCGTATCGGTAGGCACGTGCTTTCTCCGTGGCAAAAACCTTTCTACTACGCTAAATGCACGAGTGAAACCCATTTACAAATAGATCTTAAATTTTTAACCTATTCACGTTATCGGTTTTATGGAAATGAATTACCCCCACCGTCTCCCCTCAAACTTCTACCATAATGTTAGGTTTGGGTTAGGTTTAGCGGGGAGGGACCGACTCGCACACGTTGAAGCTAACTAGCGAGCGGGCTAGTTTCCACGGCTAATGTTTCAGCAATCAAGCTAGGGGCATTAATCGGGACAATAACATGAGGTGCTTGTGTGCATTTACTATGAACACAGCTATAGTTATTCTTTAAGTATGCAATACACACATGTGTTAGTAAAGTACCAAGGGATGATCGCCACTTCTTACCAATATAACCGGCCGTTGCCAGCTAAGTGCAGTTAGCATACAATGACAATGAGCATGTCATTTTCGTGATCTGTCAAAATGGGTTAGCCTATGCTAGCATGCTAATTCGAACGGAATTTCAGTGAGGCCATTGTTACAACGTCATTTGTCGATGAGGACTTAGCCAATTGACAAAGCCTCGCTTTTTAAATACAATTAGATCCAACGTGGCCTTGGAAGCTAGAGGATTAGCCTGCTAAATGCGTGGTCTGTCAACGTGCCGCCACATAGGAAGAGTCCATTTTCAAAAAGCCGGTCTGGAGAACTCGTTCCCAACCACCACCAGTTTCCACATTGTTTGAAACAGCACCGCACGATTTACACTTTTTTAGCACTCAATTAAGCGACAATAACGTTATCAATTACAAGCATTCGCCCTACCTGCCGCTGGCACACCAACGTGTATGGTGCTGATTATTTAGGAAGATAAATGTGATACTGAAAAAGAGAGAAAAGTGTAAAACTCCCGGCACTGGTCCGGCTTCAGTCATTCACTCTTGATGATGTAAAATGGCTGCCACGTTCACGCCTCGAGTTTTGTCTCGTCGATGGGGTTTCTTGGACATCCCTGCACGGGCTTGCCTTGTATGCATTTTACAGTAGAGCAGCAGGTCATCTGCAGCATCCGTCATAACTCCAAAAGAGCAGTCGTTTCACCGCGTCGGAATCGTTTATTGATGGTGCAAGTGAACAAAAAAACAAAAGGGTGGCACAAACACACATCAAATTTAAACACGAAAGTAAATCACGAAACAAGGAATTACACAAATTAAACATATGTGTTGTTTTTAGACTACTTAACTAATACTGCACTGTCAACCCAGTGATAATAGCATTAATAATGAGTGTAAAATGATGGTGAAATCTGGCAAGTATGTCCCACTTTTCACCACACCGTGTCAGTCTTCTCGTAGATATAGCACTTGCCCATTTCGTAAACACAATAAAGAGACTGTGTAGGCAAGTTGAGATCCAACGTATTTATACCGAAACAATATGACTATATGTTGCAAAACAAATTAAAAAAAAACCTGTGAGTTATGAGGCTGCACTCTTCTTTATCCATACAAAGTTGCATCGTAATATTTACTGAGCAGCAATGTGCATAAAAGTGACAAAACGACATATGTAAAAAGAGGAAAAGTCACAGATCAAAGTTGATAGCCTATATAAACTCGTACTAAAGCCTTTACTAATAAAGCACTACTCTTGTGTGCATTGGTGTTGCAGAAAAATCAAGTTCGGCACTGTTTTACTTATAAATTTGGGATTCAGTAGTCCTGCTAACACATAATTTACCATTATGATCTGATAGGCATTTATTTCAGTGTTGAGCTTTAATATAACTTAAGTAATTAACTGCTGACGCACAGAGCGTTTATGAGGCTGGAACACTTCAAGGTTGAAGAAATAAAAGTTTGTGGCTGCACAAAAAAAAAAGCATTTTCTGTCATGGGTTGTGAAGTGAAGGACCCAAATACAGAAATTAAGCCCAAAAATGTGTTTATTAGGTTGTAGTCAAGGCAAAGTCAAAGCCCACATTGGAACAAAGCGCAGAACTCAAAATCCACGAGAACTTACACGGATAATATAACAAAGTCTTGGACTATCTGTTCAGTAGGCCTACACCTTGGGGAAACAGCTCAGGGAATCAGACACAGTTGTAGGCAATTAAGACAAAGCAAGACACACACAAAAAAAAACATACCGCCGATAATTACTAAGCACATCTCTGTTCAGAAAAGCGCAGTCTCGGGAACGGCAAAGATACTGCGCAAGACCCTCAAGCAAGGATAAAGACCGCCCGCAGGGACGAGAGAGGGGATACAGTCCTAAAAACCTATAGATAGGCTACCTTAACATTTTTGCAATATGCACAGTTTTTATTTCGCATACTGCAATCGATGTACCCCAGAGAAGTCAACAGGTTAGGTTTATGTCCACTTTGAATTTTTGGAATAGTAAAAAGCTTACTACTAATGCCCAAAACAGGTCACAAATGTAGTTTAAAGCATAATTCAAAAACTGTTGTTTCATAAGCTACACACAGAAAGAGCTCATCAATAAGTCAGACAAACAAAACTTTTTTTCTTGAATTTTTGCTTGAGCTATAAAAAAAAAGTATTTTGGCATTAAAAAATGTGTAGATGTCTAAAGCCAGCACCACAGAGCTGTAACATCCACCCAAAAACCAGTCATGGGGGAACTGGAGACTATTGCATATGACAGAAGTTTAAAGGTGGAGTACAACCAGAATAGGTCACAGATCCACAGCACAGGCCGAACTATAACAGCAACATAACATTTCTCTATAAAGATAAATATCTTAATGACTCCAAGCAATCTGATCAGTAGTAATTAATATGTAATTGATGTAGTGATAATTTTTATGTTATTGTTGTGATTTATATTTGTTAATATTTTTTTAGTAATACACATGCTCAGGCATATTCAAATAGACACAGGCACTATAGGGATATTTCTCATGCTGCCATGTGTCTCTTTTAATCTCCCTTCTGAGGAACTTAGCAAAATATCTGTTCCTTGCAGTTTTGTGAATCTCCTGTTCTAACACATCCCTAACCGACTGACTTCAGTAGATGCACAGTAGCATCAAAAGGGATCTTTATACCTAAAAGTGCAACTGAAAGTCCCCTACGAACATCAATTAACAGCACACAGAAAGAGGAATGTACATTTTTTGCCCCCCATCATTCTCACTCACAGGGGATCAGAAACACATTTCTGTGTTGGATGCTATTGATGGATGCTCAATCATCCAGGTAAGGAAATCCCAGAAAGTTGATTCTGGAGTCTGAGGAATGAGAAATAATATTTGTTCTGATATTTCTTGCATGCTGGAGCTCATTTTCATGTTCTCATATATAAAATAAAGGAAAAATTTGAACTATTGAGTGGATCTGGAGGCTCTGTTATGCTGTGGTGGACATTTTTGCTGTAATGGTTTGTATCCACTTGTCCCCACAGTGGAAAGGTTCCCTAGAAATGATTCCAAACTTGATTTGAGTGATCACTTCTATCCTGTTATGAAGCATTTCAATTCTAATCAGAGTAATCTTTTCCAGGATGTCAATATCCCCATTCGAAAAAGCTAAATGATGTAAATTGTAGTCTTAACCCAATGAATTGAAAATGTAAGATTGTGCCACGACCACTGTGTCCAATCAGCTTTACTTCTTGTTATACAACACATTTTCCAGTCTGTGCTTGGTTAGTTCAAGATTTAATAGAAATTTGTTATCACTAAATATTGCAGTTACCTTGGTAACTAAGAATACATTGTATCTCTTCTACATCCTTATCAACAGTTGTTCTTTTGCCGCTCTACACTACCACAGCAGATTTTAAATCAAACAACAATGTTATAGCAGACTTCTGAACAAGGGGGTTTTGTTTATTAAATTTAGCATTAACTATATAGAAATGGTAGCCATTTTTATTCATCTTCTTCAATTTTTTTTAAAATTAACTGACAAGTTGTTTCATAGGCAAATCTATTCCCTTATTATTTCATGACAAACAAAGCCGACATAATAACTGGAGTTTATTCAAAGTGTTGAATTTTTACTTTATAGCTTCCATGTGAGATAAAAAAAAAAAAGAAGAAAAAAATGATTTACATAGAAGACATCCACTGGCCAGTTTGACAACAACAAAGTCCTGAAAGACCATATGTCCTGAAAAACATACGTGCATGATGACAGAGTTATTTCAATGGTTGAGAAAAGCCGCTTCTTCTACATCATCAACATCTAACCAAATAAAGAGCATTCTCATGGCACATAACTATGTATACTACAACTTTTGATCCTTGTCCTCGTTTTGACAGTGGAATGAGATGATTGTGGACAAGGTAGTAGTTTGAGGCTTTCAGGTGAATCTGCAGAAATGTAACATAATACTTAAGTATAAAAAGCAGAAGACTGTGAAACAGATTAGTGAGAGAGATGAGTGTTTCTATCACTGACTGTTGTTTTCAGTGAACTTTCAGTTAAATCCCTTTAATATGCAGCACCCCTCCTCTGAACTGTCAGTTACTGTAAACATCTCATAACATCTCCACTTCCTTTGACATTCTTATTCAGCTCGGCTTCATTACACGAACTCACTCATCAGTGACGATTTGAAGCAGTTATTTTAGACACTGCTGCAAATAGCCAAATATGGTGTTATGTAAGAAACCCAGAAAAAAGCATGAAAGGGTAAAAAATAAATAAATAAATGAATAAAAGCAGTCAGCTCAAAGAGATGTAGTATTATTCTTTTTTATGGTTAAAATTAACAATTTCAATAAAAGGCCTTCTCAGATAGCAGCGCTAATGTGGCCATTATATTTTGATTTGATTGAAATTGGATTTTCCCAGCTACGCAAAGCAACAGCACACAGTCAAATACTTTTTAGCATAATTACTTTATTATGAATGTTAGATTTATAACGCAGTTCCATTTCATGCTACAACGACTGATCTGGCATATGGCAAAAAAAATAACCTCTTAACATTTCGGGTCACTGAACATCTTGTCTTCTACACTTAAGCCAAGGATTTATCACCAGCACAACCAAGGACACGAGGGATGGGTTCTTATGTAAACACACAACCAAAATCAAAAATACATTCATATTCATCCTTGACATTTTAGATGTTAGAGGTGGACACATGGATCCCCCCTAACAACCATCAAACACCAGCTTATTAATTCATAGCTTCTTTTATCTAAATTAATTGTAATCCTTTATTAAAAAAAAAAAAAAAAAAAAGTTTCTCTACTGAGAAACAGATGAAATCTTTTTAGGTTTATTTCTGTAATGCCTGTTTAAAAGTTCACAATAGGAAGTGAGTGAGTTTTACAGAGGAAGACGTGCATTATTTTTAGAACTGCTGAAAATGTACATGAAAATTGATCTCTGCCCGTGAAATAAGATGTACTGGAGTTAGTTTAACGCAGCATAAGGTGAAAAGAGGAAGACAAAAATGCTTGACTGAACTATTTCACATCTTACATCTCAGTTTTTACAGAAAGCCACAGTGTTAAAATGAGCCAAAGTGCTGTGAAAAAAGTATTTCCTGCTTTCTTTTTCTTTTTTCTTGTACTTATTTCTCACACTTATATGTTTCTGAACATCAAATACATTTTTACAAATCTGAATATTAGACAAAGATAACCTAAATACAAAATGCAGTCTTTAAAACATGATATCGTCTATTAGGGTAAATGAATGGTCTTTGTCTATTGTCAACATTTCTTTGATGATCTTGTGAGTGTGAGGGGACAAAGAGTTTTTAACAGCTCTAAAAAAGGTATATACAGTATTGATGTAATGTTATAAGCTAACCAGATGCTTTCTTGTCAGTAATACAGAATCCAGTATGATTTTTTCATGTGAGATCATACTTGAAGAGATAGAATAAGTTCTAACTAGTGCCAAAGTATTAAATTAATGGCATCAAATAGGACTGATTTCTGCTAATAACACCCACTGTATGGACTGATAACATCTGACGCGGGTCTTAGTGATGACTGTTTGTGCAACCATTTTTGACTTAGTATTTTGGAGTTACATTTAGTGAGTCAAATGACTTTAAAATCTAGCAGTAAACAAGTACCCATAATGAGAGCACTTGATGCAAAATGAAAACCATCCTGTTTTACAGTTAAACATCTACACATGTGGATTTTTTATTTTTTTTTATCACCGCAAACAAAACCATTGACTCGTTCAATGTAAAAGCAAAATCGTGGCTTAAAGAAAGGTAAATCAGAGACCACCGGAGCAAATCTTTTGTTGTTCTCAACTGCTCTTCTTAGACGTTTGCATCTATTTGTGTTAGTCCCCGTGGATCCGAGAGCAGTTAAGAAAAGGCAGCAACATTTAGTTTGATGACATCACTTTAAAAAATTGTGTATTTCAGCATCGGCCCTTTTTACACAACTCAGAATTCTAAAATGTCACGAAAAACAGTTTTATGCACATTAGCCTTAAAAATGACCTTTGTCCACTAAACCGAAATGCCTAAGATAAATCTCTAATTAATTCCCCCCCTTTTGCTCACCCCTCAGTTACCTAGTAACAAAAATCCAGGGATTAAATGTAACCACCATCGTCAGAATGGAAGGATGATAATGAAGTATGTTTTGAGTTTCCACTGGGTCACAGAGATCATTGATAAGGTTGGTAAGCTTCACTTAATCCAGGAAATTGCTAGGAAAATGTGTGGGCTATATAATGGGATGGATTAGACTAGAAGTTCTCACTGCAAGTAAGTTCTGTGCAGAGGCACAGTGAAGGGGACACTTTCTCTCAACATGGTAATACTCTGTCTCTATACTTATGCTTTAACTTTATAGTTTTTTATTTTCATTTACCACTTTCTCTGTATTTGTTTCTATATTTTTAGATAATTGCTACAACCACAATGGGCTCACGGAAGTCACCTGGACTGTCCCTTCTGCTGTTGTCTTTTCTTCTTTACATAGCTGATTCCTATCCCAACATTGACTTATCAAACAGTAAGAATTGTTTATGATGTAAATACTATTTTAAGTTCATCCAGTGTTTTATAATTGGATTTGAAATTAAATGTAAATGATCTGAGTCTTATGAAAGTCACAATGTTCTGTTCTAAATTTCTTATCACAGAGATTGTGTTTTTAATCTCAGTGTTCAAATGCTGGCACAATATTGCGAACCGTGCAGTTTGGGTTTTTTTTAGCAATGGTTCCCTTTTCTAAACCACCCTCTCTAGTGGGCTGTGAAGAATGCACGTTGAGAAAGAACAATCTTTTCTCAAGGGAACGTCCGGTTTACCAGTGCATGGGCTGCTGCTTCTCCAGGGCATACCCGACACCTCTCAGAGCCATGAAGACAATGAATATCCCAAAAAATATCACCTCAGAGGCGACGTGCTGCGTCGCAAGGCACAGCCACGAGGTAGAGGCACAAACACATGACAATGTCAGGCAGATATTTAACTTTTCTATGAATTTGTGACTTTTTAGCCTAATTTATGTTGGTGTCAGTAAGATTTTAGCAAAACAAATCTTGGAGTTGGATGCTATCGAATAGTTAGGATGTATATTACATGTAAGCACTTTTTCTGAGTGAATGATTGTGTTATTCATTTCTTTTTATTTTAGGGGATCTTATCTAACTTTTAAAGGGTTATTATTATTATTATTATTGGAAAGAAATGCACATAAGCTTCTCATATGGTTTTTTTTTATTTCAGTTTAAAACACTACTACAGACTATAGAGCAAAATAGCATGACAGAACGGTTTAGTGTTATGCCATTTTTGTGTTAATATTCACCCTTTTCCCCCTCCTTAATCATCTGTTCCTTTTGCAGATCCCGATAGCTGGCATTTCGGTGAGAAACCACACAGACTGCCATTGCAGCACCTGTTACTTTCATAAGATATGACAGATGGGGATTGGGGACCATTCTGCATCCTTCGGCTTGGCAACATGTCTTTTAATACGCACACGCTTTACTCTGTTTTAAAATGCATGTGTTTGTGTTTCCAGAATATATTTCACAGTAATTCTGTGGCTGTGATGTTTCATTAACCTACTTTTTTTTTTTTTTGCCTTATTTGTATTTGAAAAATTGTGGATTTGAAAAACGATTAAAATGTGCAACAAGAGCTTGGATTAAGGAATGAGTCTTATTTTTAAATCCATGCAGAATGATTTGTTACAAGGAGGTTTTCATGAGTGTTTCTTTGGAGAAAGGTGCATTCTTACGCAAACTGCACCTCACTAAAAAGTGAGAACTGGTTGAGACACTCTAATGTCAGTAAGTCGACAGAATAGAACATTTTCAGGAACTAACAAGCAAAATGTGCTTTAATGGCAAATAAATTATAGAAATATAGCTGAATTTTAAGTCAGCGTAGAAAAGATAGAAGTCATTAGAGTGATGATTTAACCACTTCAGTTTGATGACACTTGGATGAGCTCAGACACCTAATAAAGATGTCATTTTTAATACTAAACGTTCATTTAAAGAGAGCTATTAGGATGGGTGGTGATGTAGCGTAACTTCATCTTTAACGTTTGTTGAGAGAAATGAAAAACCTTTAATGTGATGGGTTTTCTAACATATCAACCTATCTGATTTTTTTTTTTTTCAAATGTTTTATGGCATTATGATAAAACACAAACATAATGAAAACACTTCATTCTTCGCTTAGGTTTACATGTTACAGTTACATCAGTGGTTTTGTTTTCTGGCTTGCCCCTCATCCCACACCCAACACCTTTTCACCAATAAAAAAAGAATTCATGCTGAATTTCCCAGAAATAAAAGTGTGTATCATCTGCTCAGTAGCATCAGAAATCTCTTTCTTCTTTATTTATTATAAAAGAAAAAAAACATACGCATCCACTTTAGCTTCTCTTCATCTTGCTCTCCTAGTTGGCCATGCCCCAGCTGAACTGGCATCAGCTTGATAACCACTGAGTAACATGTTTCATGCTGGTCCAGGTAACAAACTAGAGCACCGAGTCTGTTTGTTAATGTTAGAAAGGTTTATTCTGATGTGCTGCACTGAGCACGGGTGCAAGTAGAAGAGTTCAATTTGAATTCAAATGCTCATTTGGTGTAACATGAATTGTAGATTTATGAAATATACCCTGGTATCCTTTTTCCCTTGGGCTGCACAGATGTACCTGGAGTATTAATGTGATTTACCTCTAACATCTGGCCTGCTGGAGTGACTCTGAGCATGTGACACTGAATCAGGCCTTTTCCTGCAGCAGACCCAGGGACACATTCTCAGGATTCATACCTGGAAGATACATAAGGTTTGCGTGGGGACACTGGGAGCAGACTAAAGTCATTTTGCACACAGATTTGTGTTATTTTAGGAGATGGCTGGTTCACGCCTCGATGTCACAGCCTGCCTGCGGTATCTTTTTATGTCTTGTACCCTACTATGCAGAGTTGATGGTAACCCACATCAATCACTCTGAGGTTACCGCGTCAGCATATATGTGACCCACAGCTCGTGTGCACAGAGTGATTTTATGCGTAAGGTTGTGGATGCTTTGTTGACATCGGGGTTATGTTGAGCTTATAACAGTACACGCTCCCCTCCCCCTGCGTGCGCGTGCGTGTGCAAGTCTGTCAGCGTAACATCTGTGCGTACGCGGTCGTGATTGTTGTGAAGATGGCGGAGGGGGAGACAGAGAAGGAATATGATACACGGAAAGCTATCGAGGAGCTCCGAGAGCGGTTCCAAGCGTTGACCACAGCTTTGAAAGAAAGTTCTCAGCCCCCGTTGGAAGCCTCCTTGCATTTCTGCCAGGAGTTTTGCCAGGTTAGCTCGTTATCCTGCTGCTCATCCCGGGCTGCCTGCAGCCCCTCTGGTTTCCTGGCCGAGGATGCGCGTCTACGTTTGCTATAACAATGTAGCTAAGGGGTTAGCAGCCTAGCTAGCTCCCTGGCATTTCAAGATGGGGAAAAAACCTCCTCAGTGTTTTCCCCCAGTTTTACCAGTGATGTTCGTATGCGGCATGCACTTATTTGCAAAGTCTGACCATCCACGCGGCGAGAAGCCACGCCATCGCGTGCCCGCGCTGCATTAATTACACGTATTTTCCAGGCCAGATAGCTAATAGCAAATGAATGTTGCTAGCTGGTATGCAGGGTCCCCCTGTCTGTGCAGTGGTCATGCTGTGCAAAAACGGATAGCTGTGTTAGCGAGATTTTCCTGAGCGGTTGCATTCATGTGCACCGCTATTTATACTTGTTAAAGGTAATAAAAAAAACACAGTGTAAGCGCTGCAAGACTGCACCCATGCTTGTGGGGTTTTTAGCTTGGTGTGTATTTAGGTTACTTTTTGTGAAGCTGTTTTTTTTTTTTTTTGTACGGAAAGGGCAGTGATTTTTTCCCCCAGTGTGCTAGCCCGGGCCTTTTGCACTAATTAATCCAGCTAACCACATCAGCGCATATGTTTATTACAACGCTGTTACCTGTGCCAGCACGAGATGTTCAACTGATGTCATTGTAAAAGCAACCGATTAGCCTGCAGCTGGCTGAGCAGTGATTTGAAGGAGAAAGTGTTCTAGTGGTCACCGACTCCAATATCCGTCTCATTAATTAGCCATGACCACATAGATGCACGTTATGCGATTTCTCCATTTCCCTGCGATACAACGTAGATTATTTTCATGGCACCAAATTGGTGTGAGATTTTAAATTTGCCCCAGTGCATCTCTAACCGGCTCTGAAGAATTCATTCAACTTAAAAGTTATGTGAGAGGGAAAAAAAAGGGAGAGTCTGGGACTGTGTGCTGTGCTGAATTCACTTTTAGTCGGGGCAGGAATGTATTTAAAAGCGTGTAGCTGCAGGGATCATACACTCACTGAGCATGATAAGCGTTTTTATGCGAGCGGTGTGTTAAAGAAATAAAGTTTTATGGATTAAATTTAGGTTTTAGATTTGCTGAGTTGTATAAAAAGGATAAAAAAAAAATACTTTTTTTTGCACACACTAGATTATTTTTAATGGCTTAGGATACTACTCCTTAACTTAATTGTGTAATAAGTATGTCATGGCATTAAACATAACATTTAATATTTATTGTCCTGATGGCATGCCTTTTTGTCTTATTAAAGGTTGCTGTCTCTTAAATGTAAGCGATAATCACAAATCTGAAGCTTAATTTACACTGATAGCAGCAAGTTTTACATCATTGAAAGCAGTTCCCGTAAAGAGGAATGAGCAAATTTTGTCTCAGCGTTCTTACTGGGTTCCCAACATATTTCTTTACCAGTAAAGCCACATTTCTCTGTCTTTTTCATCTTTATTAGATAGTCTTTCAGTGAAGAGGAGACACAAAAGCAGGAAGTTAAAAAATGATACTGTGGTTATTATATCCATCACCCCGAGAGTTTCAGATTGACATAAAAATGTAGAAAAGCGGCAAATCTTTAAAGTCAAGAAGCCTAAAGCAGATAATATTCAACAACTTTTTGACTATTTGTGCACAGAAGCTAAAATTTAACACTTGTAAGTTGTCATTCGATGCCCTATTTTAACTGAAGTCTTTGTTTTCTTTTCTAAGGTCTTGGTGGAACATGCCAGTCGTTGGAAAACGGATGAAGATCCACTGCCCTTGCTGGAGGTTTACACCGTGGCCATCCTCTGCTTTGCTAAGGCTGCCTCCTGTCTCTCCTCCGAATGTGAAAACGTGCCACTCCTACTTGAAAAGTTGTCACTGTGAGTAGAAAATGAATTCAGTGTCAGTGCAAATGTGTGATAGATATTAATAACATAAACACAAGAGTGCATTAAGTCCAAAGATTAAAGTGGTGATGAGTAGTTCTAGTTCTACTGGTTTGTTTTAAGAGAGAATTTAATCCCTTTGGGCATTTGGAAAGAGGAATAATATGTGACAGTAAAAATAAACAAAACACACCCAAATCTCAGAGGAAACTTACATGAAAAGTTTTCAAATACTCTATAAACAGTCTACAGGAGCCACTTAGCTATTTGCAGGGTGTGCTCTTATAAAAACAAAGTCCTTGAGGCTGTAATGCAGAGTGGAAGTGGAGGGGATCTCTCAGGGAGCCACAGATTTGGGATGATTTACAGAGGAGGATGCAGCATGTACGCAAAATGAAGTCAGAGACAATAGTTATCAACACCAAGAATTGACATTAGTTCTTACTCATAAGATGTATTTGAATAATCCAGAACACGTCATTATGCCTCTGGAGTGAACAGATGTACCGATGTGTCGAAATCACGCTGCTGATTTACGATGATCAAGCAGCAAGACAAAGCCTCCGTTTCAACTTGTGTCTAAAGTTTGGATTTCAAACTATACACCAGTTTTTAATCCTAACAGTACAGCTTTACAGGATTTTATTGACAGTCTGATGCATATAAGTCCCACACCATAAAAATAGATCGAAGCCAGCAAAATAACCATGCCTATGTCGTCTATGTTGTGAACAAATCTTACTATGAGTAACACAGAAGCTTTTTAGATATTCTATGATGTGGTAATGATACCATTAAAGTACGTAAAATAATAAATACAAAAGAAAAGATATTCTGAAGCACATTTAGTGTTATATTTTCATCATCTCAATAGCTATTTGGGATATAGGCCTGCAATGGCTGTTGCAGGCAAGCAGCAAAGGGTTGAGGTTAGGGCATATCGTGACTTAGACCTCGATTTTGCTCACAGCTAAACTCAACTGCACTGATGAATTTGCACAGGGATCAGGACATTCAGCAGTATATTATAAAGGCCTATTGCCACCTTTCTTGTAATTGTAAATGCTTTTTGACCACAAAGTGGGCGGCCACTAACTCACTTGACAGTGACCCGATTAGTCATGTTTCTCAAGTAATGATCAGTGCCTAATTATTGGTAATAGGCAGTTGTGGGATGTGCATTTTACCTGTGTGGAAAGGTGCAGAAAAAAGTATTCCATTCATAGGATGGTTGGATATACTGATGTT